GTGTTCGAAAGAATCTACTGTGGGTGGGATGGTTCAGCCCAGTTGTGCCCTTGTCGCGTCTCGAAATTGCGAGATTATGGCGCTAGGACCTTGCATAGTGATGTAATGATGACCAATGTCAGCTTATGGACGAGATTCCTCGTGCACACCCCATGATACGTACGTGTATTACGGCGTAGCGGCTATTCAATACATGCGGGTTAGTGGAGCCGTGGAGCAAACAAGTTCAGAAAACTCGTTCGGCTCGCCCTTTCTTATTAGAAAGAAGAAGAGAAGGAGTGCTTGTAATTCATCGGCGGTTCGTTTGATTGTCTGCCAGTCTACAATAAAAAGCATCACTATTTCGTTATCAACAATTCGATCTGGAGTTGTTGCTTTAGGTGCGACTCAGTGTCGTTAAAAACTGCATCGAGTCAATAAAAGCAATCTGTTGATAATCTCTTCCATCTGCTTTTATAGCATAAGGATGTTCTTCAAAGTTAAGAGGTCAAGCTTCTCCAGACACGTTTAGAACTTTCTTGAATTGTGATCAGCTGCGTACTCTGTTTTCATCCAGGATCTCAGAACGAAGCCAATTCGCTTTTTTCAGTGGCGGAGGTGCTCCCATATTTCCATGACAAAAGTGATATTCGAGGATAAATGGAGCAAAATAACGCCAGATCGTTTATCCATCAAGTGCTACTATTTTCCGTTGGGTTCTAACAAAGTCAGTGATTTTTGGAACTTATTGTCTAATTTGTATCAGAGCAGACTGGTTACTGAATTCTGGAAGTAGTACTGGAAATTTGCCGAAATGAAGCTGGTACAGATGAAATTGCTTTGGTGTGTGCATGGAATTTCGTCGTTTTGTGGTGCAGACGAATCACTTCTTCGCATTTATGTGGAAGCCTGGTGCGGTTCGCAGCAAGGGAAAAGTGGTTTTTGGAAGAAATCTCGTGTTGGCGCAAGATGCGGGGGCATTGTGGTGGCACTGCATTTGAAACCGCACGAGGCATCGCCTTTTTTGTTCAAGGGAGTAGGCCTGAGGCGAGGAAGGAGAAACTCCAAGATGCGTGTGCCTAGTGCCGAATTCTCTGCAAATCTACAGTAGCAGTCAAAAGTGTTCGCCGAAACTGTTCCATGATGGCGATGGCAGGAGGAGGGTGGTGGAGGATGGTCGTGAAGGGTTAACCCTGAGGAGGGGGTCGTATCGAGGCCCTCTAGAAGGGGGAGGGGTCGTAAAATTTTCGAAATTGGTCCAACGTGACGGTTGACCCTGGTTCCACCACCTATCACGGAAATAACCCTGCTGCCTAGTTTTCAGAGGGAGGGGAATGAGCGCAATGATCGACCATTGGCAAACAATGCCTAGGCTTGTGAGAACGCGCTCACACCGCGCTCTGTTCGTACAGGCAAGGAATTACAAAGCATGTGATGTGAAGTTTTTTTTGATATGGTGTAGGAAAGTTAAAACAGCAGTCACTTCGAAGAACAAATCACGCCACACATGCCTGTGAGTGCGCACCACTGCCGGCTGCGCCTGGCATTCATATTAGAGCGATTTTAAAGAACAGAATGCGAGGTGGCGCGTGAGAAAACCCTCACATCCCAATTCAGGGAATCGGTCCGCTGATTCCTAAAGTTTCCAATTCATTGTCTCAAAAGCGATACAGCAGTGTGCACTTCATTGTACATGGCCGTATCGTCTTGTTGATCATTCCTCGTTAATACTCTGAAATTTCCCGCAGTTGCCGATCTACTTATGAGATTCGAGATCGAGATTCCGTCTACCGGCATAGTACCTAGATTTGTGGGCGAGTGCGTGACTAAACATTATTTTCGCTTGTTTCTTGAACATCTCTCTCAATTTTGTTACCATTTATAAAAATGGATTCCTGTAATAAGTAGGCTAATCTTATGAGTGCATTTTTTGTTTTTGGTTGCTTGATTCTAATTATATTTGTGAAAAAGATAGGTATTTTTCAGAATATAAATGTCAGTCTGATCAGAGCGGTTTTCTTCGAAAAGCAAGGTGAACCCGATCAGTGCTTCAAAGTAAAGGGCTGGGGAATGTCGTTAAGTCCTTGCTGGTGGGCATGCGACTTGAGAAGGTAATTTTTGATGTCTACAAGAAGATTTCAAATAGATTTCAGCGCTATGAATCTTGCGGAAACTTGTTGGAAAGATGTACCTGTAAAATAAATAAAGCTTTCCATATAACGACACTGGTTCATAATACAGAAATGCCTTAGTCACCTTTCGGGTATCTTTTTTTCGTGCAAAAAGTAATAGCAACCGATGAGGAATGATAGGGGTGCTAGAGTGCAAGTGTCACGGCCCAGCCGCAGTGAGGTCCTGTTTCGTAGACATGATGTAGGGGACGGGACGGGAACACACTCTGTGCGTGATATCGTCTGATAAGGA